AGATCATTTAGTGACCGTTGAAAGTTACAGCCCTGAAAAAAGTGATTTATGACGGTTTTTCACACTTACGACCTTATTAGTAGTCCCAGGATCATGTGATCAAAATTCAAATGTTTTCCAATTTGATAATAGTAATAGTAAATTATATCCACAGCATTCCTCTGGTCCACTAATTTTGTCATTTGTTCATACTTATGACTGTTGCTATGTCCGAAGGTCATGCGATCGCCTTTTGCAACAGTTTGAAAATCAAAATCCTTACAGAAGCCAGATTCACTTAACAACCCTGTTACTAACTTAACAACTTGATTCACTTAACAGCTGTGGCAAGAAAGATTGTAAATGTATAAACATAAACATGAATATAAACTAAGTGGAGGAACTCAGTGTTACTGTCCTTTGATTGATGAATCCAAGATCCAATCACCACTCACTGAATTTCTGGACAACAGAAATGGCCTCCTCCTTTCCCAACACAGGGCCTAAAAATCCGTCCTGAGCTGAGGAAGGTCTTTAGTCCCTGCGGTTTGTTCTGTTTTAGTCACCCCTCGGGCTGAGACAGGTAATATTGTCAATTGTTTCCACACTTTTTTGCAGTGAAGACAATTGTGGGCAAATACAAAATTCCATAAATAACTATAAATAGGATGCTGGTGGTGATAAATACCAGGGCAAACAAGGCAAGGCAACAGGAAGGAATGGTTACACTAGATATTTCCCATTTGGGAGCAAATCTTTAAATCTCTGTTCCAATTTCCCTCTCTCTGTCTCTCTCTCTCTCTCTCTCTCTCTGTCTCTCTCTCTCTCTCTCTCTCTCTCTCTCTCTCTCTCTCTGTTTGTGTGTGTTTATTTGTTTAGTATGTGGCATATCATACCTGGATTTGCAATATATATTAACATTTCATCTAGACTAATAAAACAATATAATATAAATTTGAGAAATATCTATGTTATCAACCAATGTCTAGGCCATGGGTAGGCAACCTTGGCTCTTTTATGACTCGTGGATTTCAACTCCCAGAATTCCTGAGCCAGCATGGCTCAGATTGGAAACCTCTCCATTTCTCCTCAGCATGGCTGGCTCAGGAATTCTGGCAGTTGGAGTCCACGAGTCAAAAAAGAGCCAAGGTTTCCTCCCCCTGGTCTAGGCCCTCTAACCCTTGAAGCGAAGCATCATGTATATTTTAAAATGAGAAACTGTATATGCCCTCAGTTTACAGTGGGGCATGATGTGATGTACAGTGTGACGTGGGATCCTCAGTTTGTGTGTGTTTCAACACCTGTTTGCTGTTTCTGAGACCTAATGCTAATTGTTGTTTAAATTGTCCTGGCCCAGAATTGTTCCTCATCCTGTTAGTTCCCTTTCTTTTCTGCTTCGCTGGCAGAATGTAGTGGCTGGTCTTTACATTTTCTTCAGCTGTCAGGCCAAACCTTTACATTTATTATTTAACCTTATGTCAAGATTGAGCTAGACTAGTACAGGTAGTCCTCAACCTCCTACCGTTCACTTAGTGACCGTTTAAAGTTATGACAACAGCAAAAAAGTGACTTATGATCATTTTTCACACTTATAGTGTGACGTGATCAAACGTTAGATCCTTGACATACTTATGTTCATACTTATGACTCTTGCTGTGTCCTAAGGTGACGTGTTCACCTTTTGCAACAGTTTGAAAAGCAAAATCAATGCAGAAGCCAGATTCACTTAACCTCCATGTAACCAACTGGATAACCCAGTATAATTTTGCAGGGTTCTTCGTTTCCTCTCAATACACTCTACTAAAACAACGGCTTTGTAAAGGTGGGAAAGAGCTATAGCCATTCGCACTTCCTTAATTTATCTCAACATGACATCTTAGATTCTCTTTTTTATCATGCCTTTCTCTGTTTTGTAGGATATTATGGTAAAACAGTAGCTGCTCAGTCATCGTATTTAGTGGATTTAGCAAATGACTAGACTTTATGAGAAGAATCGTGGAAATGGCAAGTAGCGGGTTTTCCATAGTTGTTAGTGACAGACCTATTGCATTCTGGCCCTTGTTGTTGTTATCACATGGCAATAACATTGGGGAATGCACTGATTGAAATAACAGCTCTGGTGTCTCTTAAAAATCAAACTTTTCTTCTGCATTTATGCATTCTTTGCCTCCTAGGACTTCTGATAAAGGAGGATTCGTTCTTCTGTTATTGTATTTCATTTTGACAACCCATCCTTACTATACAATATTTGTGTAGCTCGGTTACTGTGGTCAGCGGCCTAGAGCAGTGCTTGAGTGGCATTTGGATGTGGGGAACTTGGAAAATGCTGAAAAGTTGGGAGTTATCTCTAGATAATCAATAAAGCTTTTTCTATTTCAATATATATAGGTACCCATTTGCAATATGACTTTTGGCAGTAAATAATAATTAACATTAATCATTGCAATATTGTCGGCATCATCAACGACCAAAATACGCATCACACCAGAGGCAACTCATGTGTCTACATTCACAGCCCCCTGAAAAACATCCTGGCCCAAGGGAGCTTTTATCATTTACGTGGACATGTGATAAAGTAAAGAAATATTGGAGTAGGATTTCTATTCTAATACAGAAAATTCTGAAAGTGAATATAAAGGTAAAAGCAGAAACTGTTCTTTTTGGCTTAATGGAAAAAAGACTTGGAAACAATGATGGAACTTCAATGTTATATACGTTGATGGTAGCCAGACTACTTTATGTACAAAAAGGGAAGGACATTTCGATCTCCACAATGGAGGAATGGTTGCAAAAGTTGATGGAGGTAGCAGAGATGGCTAAATTGACTCCTTTGATGAAAACAACAACAACACATGAGTACTTTTTTTTCAACTTGGAAACCCCTTCTTCACTTCTGGAATTCTAGGAGGTTGGACTAAAAGATCTCCAAGGTCCCTTCCAACTCTGTCATTCTGTTAAATTCAGCTTCTAAGTGACTTTTATGGCCTCTGATAAATATCTTTTTGGGGTTTTATCTTCCAGCCTATTATTAAATGGTAAATATAGAATCTTTCTTCTGTAAGTAAACTTGTATTCCAAAAATGTTTCCAGGTTGGTTATTTATTTTAAGATGTATATTGCAAGACATCATCAGTGCTCCTTGTCTATAGAAGAAATAGCCCTCCAAATTACAGGAAGTCCTCAACTTACCACTGTTCATTTAGTGACCATTCGAAGTTACAACGTCACTGAAAAAAGTGACATATGTTCGTTTTTCACAGTTACCCCCTTTGCAGCATCCCCATGATTCTGTGATCAAAATTCAGATGCTTGGCAACTGGTTCATACTTATGACCGTTGCTGTGTCCCAAGGTCATGTCACCTCCTTTTGTGACCTTCTGACAAGCAAAGTCAATGGGGAAGCCAGATTCACTTAACAACCAGGTTACTCGCTTATGAACTGGAGTGATTCACTTAATAACTGTGGCAAGAAAGGTCATAAAATGGGGCAAAATTCCATTAACAAATGTCTCTCTTGACAACAGAAATTTTAGGCTCCATTGTGGTTGTAAGTCGAGCTCTACTTGTACTTTTGGTTGGGAAGTTGACATGTGTTTGCCTGTGCCAGATGAAATTGGTGCCTCTCTGTAAGCGGTCAGATTGCAGTCGCTGTCAGGCCACCATTTACATGGAGAGAAATGGCCAGTCTGGGAGTTGCGCTCACCTCTCCAGAGAAAATCGGTTAGAGGGGTTGAATTGCAGAGCTGTATGCAAATGCGGTTTTGTAGATGGAGATGCACAGAGGATAATACTGATAATCTTTCATATCTTTAAAAAAAGAGTAATAGCATTTGGCACCTAATACCAGTCTGGAATTAAGACGGTAAGTCTTACTGGTGATTAAGTAAAACATCATGTGACCAAACCTATTCTACAACGGTGTTTGCAGCGGTCATTAAATGAAAGCTGCAGTCGTTAAGTGTACCCATTTTTCAGAATGGGCATTTTTTACCAGATATTGGTAGTCAACGCCAGCAAAACATTGTAAGCTGTAGTCACGTGATTGTGGGATGCTGCAAAAAGCTCTGAATGTGATCTGGTTGCTGATTGCCCACAATGCAATTGCATGAGTGCAGATGGGGGAGAGGGCAAACATCAAGCCTTTGAATCCAAGCCCTAAATACCTTATATTCTTATTCTTACTAAACGTGAAGCAACACATCTTTTTCAATGGAAAATGTAGTACCAATTAACAAGGTTACTGAGAGGAGAATAACAAAGCAAGGTATGCTATGTTGCCATTCACATGATCATTTTTATTTACAGTTTAATGGAAATCACTGGCATGGAAATTGTTCACGTCTGGATAGGACATACACTTTCCTTGCCATTTTAGCTGTCCCATTTGTGTATCTTATATACGGTATTTTGCTAGTGTGTGCAACAATCTAGCATGAGTTGCAAGAAATTATTGCCTCTTAGCCAGTGTAACTTGGGTATTCTTCTGTAATATTCCTTCTTCTGGAAGAATGCAAACTTTCTGCCCCCATAGCAGATCTACAGTGCTTTCTGTGCCTCCAATCATGATGTTCCAAGGACAGATCTTCCTGATGTTGCTGAACAAAATTCTCCTTCTTACTAGACAATACACTGGTTGATGTTCAGAAAGTACAGGTAATCCTCCACTTACGACAGTTCACTTAGTGACTGTTCAAAGTTACAACGGCACTGTAAAAAGGGACTTATGATCTTGTTTCACACTTACGTCCGTTGCAGTAGCCCCTTAGTCACATGATCGATATTCAGATGCTTGGCAACTGACTCATGTTTATGACTGTAGCAGTGTCCCGGGGTCATGTGATCAACTTTTGAGTCCTTCTGGCAAGCAAAAACAATGGGGAAGCCACATTCTCTTAACAACTGTATTACTATCTTAACAACTGCAGTGATCTGCTTAACAACTGTGGGAAGAAAGGTCGTAAAATGGGGCAAAAGTCACTAAACAAATGTTGTATTTAAAAGATAAATTTGTGGATCAATTGTGGTAAGTTGAGGACTACTTGCGCGTAGCTGAGGAACCTCTGGAAGTGTCAGGTTTCCATTAATATTGTAAGTGAATACTAATCACTGTATCCCATAGAACGGTGGAAAAAATACGAGAAAACAGACAAAGAAGTTTGCTGAAATTCTGCATTTAATGAAAAGTTTGTTATTCCTAACAAAAGTGTAATGAAACTAGGTTTAAACTAAATTAGCAGATATAAAGAATTTTTTAGTTTTATTCTCAAACAACAAGAACAAAAACAAGAAGATGCACAACAACAACAGGTACAACAAAAAGAATTACAACAATAACATTAACAAGACGCAGGAACTTCCTCGTTGGAAAGTGGCTCCTCGCAGGGCTTCGCCGCTGGGGCTGATTCCGCCATCCGTCTATATGCAGATAGAATACCAAGAGTTGGAAGGGACCTTGGAGGTCTTCTACTCCAACCCCCTAGTCATGAATGCATTGTTCCCAGCATGGCCTCCATTTGTCTGCTGTGCTCAATTGCCAGCTTCTGGTGCAGCCCATCAAGAAAGGCAAGACTACCTCCTCGTGAGTGAAAGAACCGCCCTTTGCTGCTCCTGCCTTTTCTCTTCCCTAGTTGTTCTCGGATAATGCAGAAAGCAGTTCCTGCTCAAAGCTAACCATCTGCAGCTGCCCGGAAGTTTCAGGGCTCTCCTGCTGCAGCTGTGCTTCAGCCAAATCACTCTCCGCTGGCTGTTCGGAGGCATTGGCCAACTCACCTCCTGATGTGCCTGGGACTGGTTCATCCTCCTCCGATCTGCCTTCTGGAGAGGCATCTGGGGAAGCGTCTGGGGGAGGAATCAAAGGCTATTCTTAGTACCACACTCTTTCTATAAAAGTATACAAACTTTGTTCTTTCTGGAGTTACTTTTGATACTTTTTGTGGGGTATCAAAAGTAAGGAGAGGGTTGCCATTTCCTTTTCCAGTGGACCACGTTATGTCAGCACTCTGCACTATGACCTGTCTGACTTGGGTGACCCTGCCCGTCAGAGCTCATTGTTTCCTTGAGCAAGGCATTGATCCACAAAGAGGCTAAAATAGGTACCTCTTTTAATTAGAGACTGAGGTCCAGGGAGTCCTCCTCCAGGCTGCTGACATTGTCCAGCGAGGCTTCCCCTTCTTCGGGAGAATCCTGTGAATGACAATGATGACTTTTTATCCATCAATGAAAGTAGACTCAGAATTTCTAAAAGGGGCCCGATTGATTTGGGATTCCCATCAGAAACAATGCTTCTGTTGCAATCCCCACTCCCACCCACTCTGCCCGTTAAAGCCCTGCCTGGAAACAGCTGGTTGCTGGAGAGGATGATGCAGAAAAATGAAAGGGATAAACAGGGTGGGCCATATCTATTTAGGACCCCAGTCCACTGAATTGGCCCTTCCCTTCTGGTTTGCAGTAAATCAATCGCAACACAGCTTGGGTGCTTCTAGTTAGCCTAAGTACCTTGTCCCAAGGGCCAGGTGTCACCTTTATCCACTGCCCAGAGCTCTCCAGCACAGTTCACTCAGATTAGGAGAACTGAATAGAGGGACTCTATCCCTCCCCAAGAGAAAACACTTTGTCTGTCTTACCCACGGACTGGACGAAAGGCTGGCCTCCGAAGCCTCTGCAGCCTGCTCCCAGCTTCCCTCAGACTCCTCATCCAAGAGGGCAGAAATGGAGTCAAAATCCTCCAGGCTGTTGTTCCGGGAGCCCACCAGGACTTCCATCGAATCCTGCAAATGACAGTATCGAGGATAAATCCTAAGCTTTCTGCATCCCAATAAGATTGCTAAAGGATAGGGTGCATTCAGGCCCTGTGCGCCAACAGCAAGAGAGCCTCCATCGGCCCCATTGCCAAGACTTTCTTACCTCCGAAGTATGCGTCTTCTCCCCAGTAGGAGAGAGCTGCTCCTCCGCCGGCTGGTCTTCTTCGTCCTGAAATAAAAAGGCAAAGATTCTGTCTGTTGGCATCTCCACAGAGACAATGGTTCTTCGTTTAGTGGGGTAGAAGTTGTTCGCGCCTTACCGATTCTCTGCAGGTCTCTGATCTGGGGGGGAGTCGCGGCCTCCAGTGCTCTTCCTTTTCCTCTCTGGGGAGAGAAACGAAGGAGCCAAACATCAAAAACAGCCATGGGCCCTTTTTAAAAAAGTGGTGACGTGGAGGCTCTAAGAACCCTTCCAGCTGGCCTGCCAAGGAGATTGGCCTTTGATTCTTCCTTTAGCAGAAGCAGAGGCAGAGGTCAGAGATGCCTCCTCTCTGCAAAGGCTTCACCCTCTGAGGTGTTACCTACCTTGATAGGCAGGCACTGCTTTCCTCCTGCACCTCTCTTGGTCGGTATTCTTCCGAAGGATCCTGAAATAACAATGCAAATATTACAAATGTTGGCATATCAACAAATCCACAGCGAAAGGGCTTCTGCCATTGCCATGGTGAGGAGCTGGTCTGGGCTTACCGACTCAGTGCAGGTCTCCCAGATGGTTGAGAGCCGCGGCCTCCACTTCGCTATCTTCTCATTTCTAGGGAGAGAATGAAGGGCCAAAGATCAAAACTAGCCATGCGATGCCCCCCCTGCCTCTGCAAAGGTTTCTTCTAGCCCTTCTCTTTAGGGCTTTACTGCGGCTGCCTTTTAGGGGGTTCAGAATACTTAATCTGCGAACACCTACCTCACTGAAATGAGAACTGGCATCACCTCTTCCTTCCTGGGGCTCCGGGCGGTGGCACGAACACCCATCAAACCCTGCAAGTAACAATTGAAAGTATAAATTAAAAGTCCCCTGCATGTTGTGGAACGTTTATCTTCCCCAGGAGGGAAAGACTGCATTCAACAGGGAAAGACAAAGCAGATCATGGAAGATTTGGCTGATAGGAAGCCATCAAGAACTTTCCATGAATCCAAAAGGCTCCTCTTGCTTTTGCTAGGCTGGCCAGGTTCCCCCAAGTGAGAATTCCTCCCTTTCCCCATCCGGTTATGAGGGATGAGCCCTGACTGGCCATGTCGCAGAAGCATCCTTACCCCTTGGGAGGAAGGCCTGCGTCCATCGGACACACGAATCTGTGTCCACCATTCTCCCTTCTGGTCCGCCTGTTCATGTGCCTCGTCAGTTCTGACCGAAAGAAAAAGATGACATGTCAAAAAATATCCATCTAGCTCTGCCTCTCCTTTCTAAGACCAGCCAGCCAGTCAGCCTTCCCATCTTTTGGCCTCTGCAAGCCGCTTGCCGAGAGAAAGCCATCTTGGGGAGAGGCTGTTAGAGACCCTGCAGTCCATCAGTGGTGCCCCACCATGCCCAGGGTTTGAGGAGAAGGGGGTGGTACCTGTCAGGAGGCACAGGAAGGTCCTCTACGTCGCTCTTCCTGCAGCAGAAGAGCGCCGAACATCTTTTCCAGATGTTCTGTGACGAAAAGAGAAATAGAGATGAGCCAGTCGGAAGAGTTGCGAAGCATGACTTTCTCCCCTACTACTGCCAGTTTCTTGGCAGCTGAGACGGCCACACTTACTCTAAAAAACCTCCGTACAGCCATGACCCCAAGCAGCTGTTTGTCCTTTCACTGCACGAAGGGAGACTGGGCAGTTGGGCCCTGGTTGGTGGCTTTTCAGGGAAACTGACAACCTCGTTGCCTCGGCAACTAGGTAAACAAGGGCCACATTCTAAACCTACCCAAGGAGGGCAGCTCACCTGGGTTTAGCAGTGTCTGGGCGGCCCGGTGGCTGACTCCTTTGGTGGCCTTTGGCCTCTTCCTTTCATGTGGGAACAGGAACAACAGAGAAGCACCATCATTGTGGCACAAAGCACAGAAGGAATCATACAATCCTAGGGTGTGGCTTTTAGACCAACCCCCTGCCCAAGGAAGGGCTCCTCACACAGGGTCTCCAGGGAGGGGAGGGGACATAGTGCACTCTCCCCTCGGGGCTGCGGAGGCTCTGATCATGTGCAGGGCTCGCGCTCCCCTTTCAGCTCCTCCCAAGCTGGACGTGTGCCAGTGGAGGCCCCGCTTGACTGGGACATGGCTCCAATAAGGCTGGCCAGACGTGCATCACCTCCTCCCATGCCCTGGCTCAGGAAGGCCCAGGGCAGCCCCTCCTCTCCCCTTACAGATCTAACAGCTCTGAGGGTTTTCCCTAATACAATACTATTATTTAATCGTTATAGGTAGTCCTCGATTTATGACTGCTTGCCTAATGACCATTTGAAATTATGAAGAACTGACCCAGAACTACTTATGACTTATTTTAATCATTATGGTGTCCGCATATCCCCACCTCCATGATCACATGATCCCATTTTGGATTCTTGGCAACTGATTACCTTTAGAACTGTTTGCAGCGCCCCAGCGAACACTTAATGACTTCAGCATTCGCTTAACGACTACAGCATTTGCTTAACAACTACTCTAAAAATGTTGAAAATTTGGGTCCAGTCACATGATGCCTCGACTTGTGACTGCAGCAACTTACCACTGTAATTCAGGGCTCAATTTCAGTCTTACGTTGAGGACAACCATTACTGGTAATGTGACTTCAGGCTCGAAGAGAAAAAAGTTAGAGATTTTTAATGACCAGGAGAGAGACTCTGTTCTTAAATCTCTTCTAAATAAATTTTGAAGCATTCGCTGCCCTAATAAATGGCGACGTTTCTTCTTTCTTCAGGAATGAGCTTGCTAGTAGCAAATATATTCTTTTTTCAATTTCCAAATATTATAAACTAGAAACAAAAACAAAAAATAAAGCCCAGGTTCAAAGTACCCAGCTTCACAACTTGTACTTCAGTTATAGTGAAATATTAAACCACATGCTTCACGGAAACAGAACAAATTTTTATTTTTTTTCATGTTTGCAGGTTTACTTCCGAAACATCTATTGTTTCACACAGTTTTTTTTTCTTCCTCCAATGGGAGGATTCCAATTTATTTTCATATTTTAAATGCTGTCCTTGTATCCTCTTTGAGTTTATAAATATATCTAACTTTGATATGATGCCCCAAACAGGAACAAACGTAGTTAACGTCATGACTGTCTTTCTGAAGCATAGACTTCAGAGTTGTGAAGTGATTAGAGAAATTTCAATGGAAGGTAGAGGAAAACTATTGGAAGCAGGATCAAGTACACATATTGCAGGTAGTCTTCAATTTACAACAGATCATTTAGTGACCGTTGAAAGTTACAGCCCTGAAAAAAGTGATTTATGACGGTTTTTCACACTTACGACCTTATTAGTAGTCCCAGGATCATGTGATCAAAATTCAAATGTTTTCCAATTTGATAATAGTAATAGTAAATTATATCCACAGCAGTCCTCTGGTCCACTAATTTTGTCATTTGTTCATACTTATGACTGTTGCTATGTCCGGAGGTCATGCGATCGCCTTTTGCAACAGTTTGAAAATCAAAATCCTTACAGAAGCCAGATTCACTTAACAACCCTGTTACTAACTTAACAACTTGATTCACTTAACAGCTGGGGCAAGAAAGATTGTAAATGTATAAACATAAACATGAATATAAACTAAGTGGAGGAACTCAGTGTTACTGTCCTTTGATTGATGAATCCAAGATCCAATCACCACTCACTGAATTTCTGGACAACAGAAATGGCCTCCTCCTTTCCCAACACAGGGCCTAAAAATCCGTCCTGAGCTGAGGAAGGTCTTTAGTCCCTGCGGTTTGTTCTATTTTAGTCACCCCTCGGGCTGAGACAGGTAATATTGTCAATTGTTTCCACACTTTTTTGCAGTGAAGACAATTGTGGGCAAATACAAAATTCCATAAATAACTATAAATAGGATGCTGGTGGTGATAAATACCAGGGCAAACAAGGCAAGGCAACAGGAAGGAATGGTTACACTAGATCAGGGGTAGGCAACCCAAAACACTTAAAGAGCCACTTGGACCTGTTTCCCACCAAAAACAAAACACCGGGAGCCGCAAAACCCTTTTGATATCTAAAATGAAGATAACACTGCATATATCCTTTTTTACCTTTATTATAGGTGTGTGTGTTTGTGTATGTATGTGTGTGTGTGTATACACACACACACACACACACACACACACATTAAAAATAAAAGTAAAAATATCACTCTTGGGAATATCCATACTATTAAAACAATGATCACCAAGAGAATGCTTTAAGAGAATAAAATTACATACACACACAGGTTAAAAAAAGGATATATGCAGTGTTATCTTCATTTTACATGTCAAAAGGGTCTCTCTCCTCTCTCTCTCTGTCTCTCTCCCTCCCTCCCTCCCTATCTGCCCTTGGTCTGCCACTCCTCTTCCCCCACTCTCTTTCTTTCTCTCTCTCTCCCTCCCTCTCTCTCCTCCCCCCCTCCTATCTGCTGCTCACCTGGCAAGCTTCAAGCTGTTGTCCAGCAAGATCAGGGGTAGGCAACCTCGTCTCTTTTATGACTCATGGACTTCAACTCCCAGAATTCCTGAGTCAGCCTAGCTGGGCTAGCTAGCTCTCTCCTGCCCTTCCTGCTTCCTGCAGAGATGCAGCAAAGGGAGGGGCTCTGCCCAGTAAGCTTTTCAGCTCCGCGGGGAACACTGTGAGTGCACTCTCTTTTACACATACACACACACACACAACAAACACATACACAGAGAGAGAGAGAGAGAGAGAGAGAGAGAGAGAGAGAGAGAGAGAAGCAGGGAAGTGCAATTGCCTCTCTCTGTCTCTGTCTCTCTCTCTGCAAAGGCAGAGGAGGCTGGGAGCCACAGGGGGAGGCTCAAAGAGCCGCATGCGGCTCCGGAGCCGCAGGTTGCCGACCTGTGCACTAGATATTTCCCATTTGGGAGCAAATCTTTAAATCTCTGTTCCAATTTCCCTCTCTCTCTCTCTCTCTCTCTCTCTCTCTCTGTCTCTCTCTCTCTCTCTGTTTGTGTGTGTTTATTTGTTTAGTATGTGGCATATCATACCTGGATTTGCAATATATATTAACATTTCATCTAGACTAATAAAACAATATAATATAAATTTGAGAAATATCTATGTTGTAAA